CCAACGGGAGCCCCGCCCACTGCCCCTCCGCCACGAACGCCACGTCGCGACGCACCACACAGCGGGGGCTCCGCCCCGTGCCCCCTCCGCCCCAAAATTCAATCCGCGTCGCGACGCGCGCCACCTCCCCCCCCTTCCCTCCCGCTCCCAGCGCCCCTGTGGGGCCCCCGTCCCGTGGCCCTCCGCCCCGACTATTGTATTCCGCGTCGCGACGCGCACCACCTCCCCCCCTTCCGCCCTCGCGCCCCCAGCGCCCCAGTGGAGCCCCCGCCCCGTGGCCCTCTTCCCCGAGCCCCGCCCAATGCCCCCTCCGCCCCGACAACTTTATTCCGCGTCGCGACGAACGCCACATCCCCCCCCCAGGTCCCCAGCGCTTCAAGGAGCCCAGCCCCGTGCCCCCTCCGCCACGACAATTTCATTCCGTTTCGCGACGCCCCCCCCCCCCCCCCCGCTGCATCCCCGGCGCCCCCGCCCGCGACCCCCTCCGCCCCGGGCATTTTATTCCGCGTCGCGACGCAGGGCCACCTGCCCCCCCTCTCTCCTTCCCGATCCCCAGCGCCCCAGTGGCGCTCCCGCCCCGAGCCCCCTCCGCCCCGGCCGCTTTATTCCGCGTCGCCTCGCATGCCGCCCCCTTCCGCCGCGACCGCTGCATTCCGCGTCGCGCCCCGACCATTTTATTCCGCGTCGCCACGCGCGCCGCCCCCTCCGCCACGACCGCGCTAATCTCTTGCACAGGGTGTCTAGAGCTCCGACCCGACCATTTTATCCCGCGCCCCCCCCCCCCCCTTCCCCCCCCCCGCGCCCCGAGCGCCAGAGCAGGGCCCCCGCGCCGCGGCTCTCTGCCCTGAGAGCCCCCCGCGCTCCCGGCGCCCCAGCGGGGGCGCCGCCCGCTGCCCCCTCCGCCACGAATGCTTTATTCCGCGTCGCGACGCGCGCCGCTTGCCCCCACCTCCTTCCCGCGCCCCAGCGCTCCAGCGGGGCTCCCGCCCCGTGCCCCTTCCGCCCCGACAATTCAATCCGCGTCGCGACGCGCGCCGCCCCCCCCCCCCCCCCCCTCCCCCTCCCCTCCCCCCCCGCCCCGCCGCCCCGGACCCCCCCCCCCCCTCGCCCCCCGCCCGCCCGCGCCCCCCGCGCCCGAGCGTGCCGCGTTCCGTTTCGCGACGCCCCCCCCCGACACACCTGGGATTTGGGCACCGTTGCTGGGCCCCGAGGGGCGATATCTTGCCCCCTCTTCCCCCCTCCCCCTGGCGCACGTGCCGCTTGTTCGATGCCAACAAGTAGCAAGCTTGCACGTGCACCTTACTCATCATCTCGTGCACATCAAGTGCTGCAATGTTCGGAAGCGCATCGAAACTGCGCGCGCATGATAGATCCGCCCCGTGTTGTAGGGAATTCGCTTGACCTTCGTGCCCGCCGGCCTTCTCGGCGAAGCGCGCTCAGCAGTGGCGCGCGCTGGGGCGGCGCCTGGCTTGCGGCGGATGGCAGGTTGGAGCGCTTGGCGATCCTCCGCCCACTGCTTCGCCAGTGGCAGGGCAGCTTCCCGCTGGCTGCTCTTCGGCAGGCGCGCCTTCGACAGCGCTCCGTCGCCCGATGCCTGCGCCGCGCAGTAGCGGCGCCGCTCGCCGGGGGTCGCGAGCTAGTGGCCTATGACAGTCGCGAGCACTGTCTATGAGGTGAGCGCTCTTAGAGCCAGTGTATACATGGCCGCGTTGTGCGCGATCAGCTTGGCGTGCGTAGCTGCTTCCAGCTAAAGTTCCAGCGTCTGAAGATAGTGCTCGGGCTGGTCGCGGAACCGCCTGCTCACCTCGGCGCGCGGCGCCTCGTTCGGTGACGTGCCGGAACCGGCTGGCGATTGATAATTCGCGGGCAGGGAGCGGCGCGCCCGCGCGCGTTCGAAAAGGAACTGGGCACGTTCCTGCGACGCGGCCGACATCGGCACGTCGGCCAGAAGCTGGCCGCTCGCAGTACTGCGGATCGCCTGAGATAGCCCGCGCGATCTACGGGCAGATCTCATTCGAGCGATCGACGACGGAATCGGCTAACTGCGAACGCACGGACGGCGACGATTGAACCCATCTGCGCAAGTGGCCTCGTCCCAGTGCGCTGGATTGGTGGCTGCCATTGCCTCGATGAGTTCGGCCGTGCGCTTGAATGGCTTCTCGAATTTACAGATGTTACGAACGCGCTGTGTCGCTCGACTAGGCGTGCTGCCATTGCGCGTATCATCTCGGCGCTGAGACATATGCGTAGTCAGAGGTGGCGAGGGCGCGCCAGTGTGCACAGGGCTCCATGCATCGGGTTGAGCCTGCGAATCAATGTGGTTGCGCTGGGTGTCAGACCGATCGCAGATGCCTCGATCAACTGTCGGACCCTCGGAAAGACGACAATGACAATGGGGGCGACATGATCAATCTTGAGTCAGAACTGCAGCCGCGGCGTTTGTATGTTCCCCATCGAGCTGAATTGCAAACAGTGGCGAGGTGCACCGGGTCCAAAACAAGTCAAGACAAATTCTCGCAGATCTCTAGCAGCTGGACGTACAACTCACCAGGGGGCTCGTCCGTCGCGATCGAGCGAACCTGATTGAGGCCCGTGGAAGACGCAACTGAAGCTTGTCCTTGGTGTTCCGTGCGGCCTCAGACCCGATCGGCCGCAGTGCGGCCGCGTGCCGTGATATTGCGCCCCTTGACAACTGTGTCATCGATTGGCGCGGCCGCTCTCTTCTCTGCGGAATCTCGGCGATTCGCCTCCCTTGATCCGCATGGCCGCCCGGATGGCGGCATCGATCCACGCGTGCACGACCTCGTCGTAGTCGAACAAAGTGCTGAATCTGATGATCTCGCTCAGCCCGAACGAACGGCGCGCTCAACGAATCTTCCAATAGCTTCAGCCAGCGTGGTACCGTCTGCGCCAGCAAGTGCGTCAGTTGTGACTCTGCCTTCACGCGTCTCGTCACGATGCGCGCGCGTGGGCCGATCGCGCCCGAAGTTCAGCGTCCGCGAATGCGTGGCTGTAGTGCGTGTCGCCTACGCGTCTTGCCAGCGCTGCCGCGCCCTCGAACGCCGACAGGGTAGCTGTCGCGTTGATGGGCGTCGGGCCACCGCCGTCCAAGAGGAGCCGAATGTTGCGGTCGATCCTGAGGAAAATCAAGGCGGACTTCGCACTCACTCGCAGTATGTATCTGACCACTATGTAACACCGCCCCTGGTTTTTTTCCCTGGGTATTTAGTCGACTCAGAGATTGCGTATACCTTCTTCATATGCTTCGTGCCGGACGCAACGTAGGTGCCGCAGCCCATCTGTTTATATCCAGTGTATTGGCTTTTCTCTTTTGCGTTGTGGTAGTTACACATGTGGGGGATCAACTTCCGCTTCACCTTGGGGCTGCCTGCGTCGAACTCCTTGAAAGGGCACGACATGCAAAGTACAGCCTGGCCGCCGCTAGCCACGCGACTGGCGGCCGCTTTCGTGGTGTCGGAGTAAGCCAAAGCGCACGTGGACATTGCCCTCGTCGTCCTCGGCGTAGCTATTTTCGCTGAGACCGATCGCTTCGAGATCATCGTCCGCGCCGCCTCCGTGGCCCGCAGCTAAGTCAATAAGGGAATCCAAGTGAATTGACTCAGCCCTGTCAGTGGGCTCGCATAGGCGGAAGGCCACCACCTTCGATGCGAATCAAGCGTGTGTCGATGGACGTGACAAATCAAGCCCCAGCAATAGCAGGTCGCGACGCTGGTGCACGAGCGGTCCAGATTGATGGCCAGCGCGTGTGGCTTTCCCCCGTACTCGGCGTTGCAAATGTCCATGTCAGGATCTGGAGACATGACCTTCTTCTGCGGGTAGAGCCGGCCGGGTGCCTGAGGTCTCCTGGCATTCCCTGTATGTCCGAATGGCCCTCAGGCACTGGTCAGAGCTGGTCCGTCGTGCTTTCGGGGGCCCCTCGGAAGCACGACGTGCTTTAGCAGGGAAACGCCAATCAGCTATCGCCAGTTCAGTGCGGGCCCCTCCGTCCGTATTCTCTCCCCGACGAGGGGGTGAAAATGGGTAGGGGGTGAGGGAGGAATGAGGAAAGGGGGTGGAGCCGGAGGCGAGGAGGAGGGAAGGGGAAGGAGAGCAGAGGGGTGGCTGAGCGCTGAGGGGGGGGGGGTTAGGGAGGATTGGGGGTAAGGGGGAAGAGGCTGGGGGCCTCGAGGCGAGGCAGCAGTCGGGTTCATTCACAACCGCAACGGCCGCTACGGGCCGCCGTGCGATTGAACATCGATTGTGTGGCCAAGCAAAAAAACGATTACACGATCAGTGGAAACGAATTCAGCCTGCACTCCGATTTCATGAAGGTATACGTCCGACGTACAGTTGAACAGGCTTCAGGCTCGCGATTGGAGGTGCCTCGTACATACACAATCAGCGGGTGAATGTAGCACAGGAGCCGAAGGGCGCTCTTGCTTCAAGCCAGAAGCTGATTTCCCAACGCAAGCTCGCAATGATTCGAACGAATAATGACCGCAAACAAAACTGCCGTGCTTGTGCTGGCCCCAAGTCTTCCGCTTTCTGCTGTTGCTGCTGCTGCTCCTCCTCCTCTTTCTCTTACTTCCTCATACTCATATTCCCTCTCCTCCTCATCCTCCTACCCCGCTTCTCTCACCTCCTTCCTCCTCCTCTTCTTCTTCCACTTCGTCCTCATCCTCCCACATTTCCTCTTTCTCCGCATGTATGGCCCGCAGTCCATGTGAGACAATCAGACGCCGATTGGCACTTACTGGGACCTATCAGCTGGGACCTATCATATGAATAAGGGAACGATGATGATGTTGCTTATGGCGATGATGATGGCGGTGGTGGTGATGATGATGACGATGACGATGTTGGTGCTGATGATGAGGTTGATGGTTACGGTCATGGTGATGATGATGAGTAGGTACCGTCGCTGAGATCGGCGCTCTGCACTTCGGCCCGACCCCCGACCGTGGCTGGGCCATCGAACGCGTGCACATTAAGGCGACTGCCGTGGAAGTACAGGCTCTGCGACGCCATGCTCGAGGCGTTCTTCGAAAACGTGTGGTGTGATTTGCACGCGTGCTTTAGACGATCCCAGTTCTCCAGAGAATCGCTCCTAACTCCATGCGCCTCCATGAGCCTGATCTCGTGGGCCTTCAGGCTCAAGGCGAACGCCGCACGGCTGGTGACAACCGCCATCAGAGAAGAGCAGCCAAATAACATCCAATAGGCCCCAACCACCATTCCTTGGGAGACGACAAAACAATGGTACCCGCTACTCCCTGGACCTCTCCCAATTTCGAAACCAGAATTTCGAGATGAATCCGGCCGTGGCGGCGAGGGAAGGGTAGAGGCTCGCTTCCTCCTCTGAATTCCTGCGTGCGTGGACGGCGTGAACGCCCCGAATCCGACGGTGCTGAGGGTTATCAGCGACATGTAAACTGCTTCGGCCAATGTTTTTTCCTCTCCAGGGTAGTAGGTGAAGAACAGTGTCCCGCCAGCAGCGAAGAAGCAGAACACTATCGACGCGTATACCACCGGCTCGAAGGCTTTCTTCAGTGCGTGCTGCTCTGACCTTGGGCTCTTGCTGCGCTCCCCTTCGTCGGCCCCGTCCATCGAAGCCTCCATCATGGTCCTGAAGACGCCCAACATATCTTGAACCATGCTCGAGATGAGCAGGACGGCCGTGAACACAAATATCCCCACGCACAGCTGGCCCCTGGCAGGACGACGCCAACCGTACACTCGGGGGCGTGCAAGACTGGGGGTGTCCACAAAGGGGGTTCGCACACAACGGCCCGAAGCACGTGCGCGGACGAGTAAAGGGGGTGACCAGGGGACATGTTGAAAGAAGAGGGGGGGGGCATTAAATCCGGAGAGATATTGCGGCCCCGCCGTGAATCCCCCCTACTCAAGATCCCAAAACAATGTGGTGACAGACCGTGCGGCAACCTCGGAATCCCTAGATACCTACGCGCCGGTCGGAAGAAGTAGGTCAAGAAATGAAGTAGGAAGGCGGATTAAGTAGATTGAGGTCGGGACCTCCCAGATAATAACAGAACACAGCAGAAGCATATCGATTCTTGAAGTAGTAATGCGCTTGCAGTAGATTGGGAGCTGGGAATCAGAAAATATCTACTTCCAACGACCTGCGTGTAACCACATGGTCCGCCAACACACGGCGGCTTTGTACCCCAGAGGCCCCGACACGCTTTCGGAGGACGGCCCAAGTCAAAAAAGCCGTGCGGCGATCCCGAATCCCAACCGACTCGCTACTCTTATCGCTGTCAGCGCTGGCGGACACGAGAACAGCTGCAAAGCTGACGGGTCGCGCCGGACACTGAGCGCAGTAGACTGGTTGGCTAAGCATACGGCTGGACCTAGGACATAATCACATTCTTCAAGAACATGAGACCCTAAACTGGCCAAACTGAAGTACATTCGAGGGTACCCGTCCCCAGGATGCACCAGAACATCCAACAAACACGAAGAACAATGGGGTACTCTCCCCGAACCGACCTCAGAGGAGGAGGGGGAGGAGGAGGAGGAGGAGGGGGAGGAGGAGGAGGAGGAGGAGGCGGAGGAGGAGGAGAGGAGGAGAGGAGGGGGGAGGAGGAGGAGGATGAGGAGGAGGAGGGGGACGAGGAGGGGGGAAGGAGGCCCTGAACTCACTCGCCACACGGTGTGGTCACCTCGCCGCCTGGGGGCCCCCGGGCTCAGTGGTCGCCCCGGACATGCAGCCGCACTGGCCCCTGGCGGGGTCGACCACGGGCCCAGGAATCGCTGCAGCGTGCGCACGGCATGCAGCATGCGCTCGCTGTCCGCTCCTCCTGCAGGCGACGGGCACCATCTTGCTCCCCGCCTGGGTCTTCCATGCCCAGCCATCCAGTTCGCCGACTTTGGACATGTCTCCTTACCCCCCCCCCTCCTCTCCCTCCTCCTCCTCCTCCTCCTCCTCCTCCTCGTCCTCCTCCTCCTCGTCTCCTTGTCGCTCTTCCCCTGACTCCCCTCGGGTGCCGGGCCTCGCCCGAGGGGCGGCGACGGGGGGGGGCGCCTGCTCGGAGGGGGGCATCGAACTGGAAGGGAGCGAAGCGCCCACGGGGCCCACCGGTGCGGTGGGGGAGCAGCGCGGCCCCGCGCGTGCTGAGTTCTCGCGAGTCGCGGAGAAAGTCGACCTGGCCGCTCTGCCGCCCCGACCCTCTCGGTGGTTCGGAACTCTTCGGCAGGCAACCTGTTTGCGTACGCGGTCTCCTCGGAACGCGGTGACTGCCGGCGGGCAGCGCTGTGCCGTCCCGTTGCTCCTCTCTCCCCATCCTCTGCAGCCATCTGGCTCAGAGTCGGGCATCCTCCCGCCTGCCCTGCACGCTTCAATGAAGGGGCCCTGGGACACGCAAATAAATAGACACAAATAACAAGATTCCCCATACTTTCCCATAATTTCTGGGTTTTTGCCTTCCCCCCACTTCCCATATTTTCCCATATTTTCTGGGGAATCGCCGATTAATTGTGTCCGTGTGTTTTTTCCCTTCCTGATCTAAGGCGGGTGCTTCCCAGTTTCGTCGGTGGGGAAGCCGCGCGGCCCCGCGCGTGCGGAGCTCTCGCGAGCGACAAGGTAACTCGGATGCCGCCGCAACGTGGATGCGATTCACACACACACATTGGACCCGGTGTCGGACCGCGAGGCCGTGCCCGCGCAGCTTCGTCTGCCACGACGTCCAACCCGCAGCCGTCGGAGACCGAACAAACAAACGCACAGACAAACGAGCGAACGACCAAACAAACAGACAAACAGACACACAAACAAACAAACACAATAACAAACACACAAACAAACAAACAGCAACATGCGATAACACCGCGAAGCGCGATCGCCTGCGAATGGGCCCGGCATTCGCACTGACGTGCGCACGACGACGGCTACGGACAGGACCGCGACTGCAGACCTGCCGCGGCATCCACAGGAGCTCAACGAGCACATCGAGAACAACAAATGCGGAAATAGTATTGTCGAGCAGGTCACTACCCGACCATCCACAACCACCCCACCAGACCCAGGCGCGCCTGGCAGAGCTAGTTTTCAGTAAGGACAGAGCACGCCAAAGCAAGGCACGCAGGTAGGACAGCGCATCAGCAAGCAAATCCGACGAGAGGTGCGACAGGAACAAACGGATGACAAGACGATCGCAAATTGGTGAACCATTTGGCGACTGCCGTGGCTCAAGCAAATCACTGCGATCACACCGAGACGAGTGCGCGCGCTCATCACAGAAATGCCCGGCACGGATATGGCAGAGCAACTGTGAGCAGGAAATCCATACTGCAAACGCCTCTGCCAACTTCTACGAACAGCTGTACCGCTCCAGGCGATCAGCCGCGACACCGGACAATCGCGACGACAGCATCCCACCACTTACCACCCAAGAGCCCGACAAACCACTCGCAACCCTCAAGCGCGGCAGAACATAAGGCAGGCAGGCAGGCCCGGTCGCGCACGGAGGCAGCACGCGCGCCACAATTGGAGACGGCGTTGGGACCACACGCGCTTGTGCACCCCCCTCCAGACATGCACCTTTCTCGAAGCAGCGAAGTCGACGAAGTCTTGATCGCACCCAGCGGAATCAGAAGGCCGATGGCAGTGCAAAACGCCAGCCCCGAACGGAATCCGAGCAGAAATGGGTCCCTCCGCTGCCGGCCCACGGAGCGCGCCAGAGTCCACACCCGACATCCCAGAGGGTTCGAAAGGGTTTTTTTCGGGAGGGGGCTTTCCAGGAGGGGTCCCCCAGGGGCTTCGCACCCCCTGTTTGACGAGGTTCCGAGGCCCCTGGGGGGCTCTCTGGAAAACCCCCTCGCCCAAAACCTCCTTTGGAACCCTCCGGGACCCCGATCGGCGATAGAACCCCGACGGAGAATTCGCACGCAACGAGACTGGCTTTGAATTCACAGAAACTTGTTTTTTGAACTCAAAAACGCAACGAGACTGTTTTTTTTTGCATTCGATAACCGGAGAATTCGCACGCAACGAGCAAGGGGGACTGGCGCAGGGGAGGATTATCGACCTGGAATCGGTGACACGTGGCCGATAGATCGGCGGTCGGCCCCCAAATAGCGAGCCCGCACGCTCTTGGGCGGGGTGGGCTATCGGGCCCCTGTCGGCGATCAGTGCGCGCCTGGAGGTCCCTGCGTCACCCCTGAGCTCGTCCCTCGCATGAACGCTGCCCCTGATCATCCCTGGGCCCCGGGACCCGAGGGCGGCCTCAGGGAGGGCGAAGTCGAGGAACAGCGCCGCGCAGTGTCTTCTTCGTGCGCGGCGCCCCAGCGAGGTCTGGGGTTGGCGCTCCTCTGGCCTGGGTCTGGCGGGGGTGATGTCGCCGTAACCGACCGTCGTGAGGATCTGAGCGAACAGGTAGACCGACTCCTCCAGACACAGCGGGCGCGGGTGCTGGAAGTGGGGGGACTGGAATATCAGCACGTTGGTAAACATGTATAGGCCACCAAGCAGCCTACGAGGAGGATGAGGAGGAGGAGGAGGAGGAGCACAATGAGGATAATGACGAGGAGGGCAAGGAGGATGAGGATGAGGAGGATGACGAGGAGGAGGATGAGGAGGAGGAGGAGGAGGAAGCCACGACCCGCTCAGGACGTGGCAGCGCGAAGCCCTCAGGTGGGCATCCGCGAACAGAGCCAGGACGCCTTTGTCATCTTCTTCCCAACCCTCATGTATATTCTTCCGTATTGCACATCTTCTTCCCAAACCTCATACACTTATTGCACCCTCAGGTCCCGCAGGCTCAGAGGTCTCCGATCTCACGACGTCCACAACAGCGGCTCCGTCAATTACCTCTTCGGACGCCAGCACAGCACTGCTTGCAGGACCTCTTGGGCCACGCACCACCACCACGCCTTCAACGACGGCGCCCACGGAACCCGCCTGGCACAGCAGCTACCGCGACACCCACCTGAAACTTTAACCATGGCGACGTCATGGCGGACAACTGCAAGAGGATCGGGAACTGCGCCACCACCGTGGAGGTCAGTATCGAGGCGAGCAAAGCCACCGAAATCCACTACGCTGGCAATTGGAGCAAGCCTCGAACGCTGGAGGAACTACAGCTGGACGGACCAATGGACCAAGGACCACCCCGACACGTACTGGAACCGGAACCACAACAGAAAGGGCAACAGCGACGGCGGCAAGGGAAGGACCGCAAGGGAAGACCACGAGCCCTGCAGCTGGAACCAGAAAGGCATGGAGAATCACAACAAGGGCAAGGGCACGGCAGAAGTCTAACCCGACAGTGTAAAACGAGCAAGAAGAAGGACGAAATCCAGGACTACAACGACACAATCAGCAACACGTTTGTGGTCCTTCGTCCACATTGCGATCGTTTTCTCGCCGCCGTTTCTGGTGAGGCCTAAGGTGTGCTCCGGTGGGGTGTAAGACCGTGCTTCGCACCGACATCTTGCCTCACCATCCACACCTGCCAATCAGCAACACGATCAACAATGTCATGCCCATGAGGAAGATCTACGCCACCAGGAGGCACGACTGGGAACTACCACCCAACGGCGCCAGACTGAGGGACGAGTGGAAGAACATCAAACACACAGTCACGGTGCGATCCGCAATAGCCATCGCGAACAAAAGTACAGAAGGGCTACCTACCACGGGCGCCGTGGCACAGATCGCCTTCGCCAAAGCCATGCTGCTCAACAGCATGCCTCGAGCACAGCAGGCGAGGGACATCAGAACTACTGCCTATCAAGAGCACACCAAGGCCCACCATATGTAAATCCGCCGACCGCGTCGGCGTGTGGACAACGCGGTTCGTCGTCGTCAAGGCGCTGTTCGTCGTGAGCCTCGTCGTCGACGCCACCGCTCCCACGTCGAGCGCCTCGTCGTCGACGTCACCGCTCCCGCATCGAGGTCGCCGCTCTCGCTCCTTTCCCCGAGCCCGTCGCCGAACAGTCCAACGTCCAATTGCGTCAAAGGGAAGCCCCTTCCCTTTGATCCTTTCCCAGGGGCAAGTCGGGGGTTGCTAAAGGTGCCCCTGGCCCAAGGTGCCCCCAGCTTTTCGCTCAATTTTGGAGCTCCTGGGACCCTCTGGACCTCGTGAGGGGTGCTCTGGAGGCCGTAGTGGCCTCCTTGAAAATCCTGGGGGCACCTTGGGCCAGGGGCACCTCTAGCAACACCCGAGCAAGGGGGGGGGGTCCCCGGGAGGGCCGCCACCAGATAGGCCTCCCCCCCGGGGGTCCCCGGGCACAGAAAAGCCCCAAGACGGCCAAGAGGGCCCCGAATCGCCGAACCATCCATCGGTCCAAGACGCCAAAGTAGCTCCAGACGGCTCAAGATGCTGCCAAGACTGGCCCCAAGACAGACCAAGAGGCCCCCACGACGCCCCAAGAGCGCCCCAAGAGGCGTCCCAAGAGGGCCCCTAGAGGCCAAAATCATTGATGTTCGTTCCGTTTTTGAAGGATGTTTGCGTTTTCGATTTTCCGGCTTTCCGACGCTACAAGACGGCACAACAAGCCCCTAATATCGCCCCAAGACGGCCCAAGAGGGCCCCAAGAGGGCCCAAGAGGGCCCCAAGACAGCCCAAGAGCCGCCCCAGACGGCCCAAGAGGGCCCGAGACGGCCCCACGAGGGGCCCCAGAGATGGACCGCAAACAGAAAATTTGAGCCTTCCGCCCCAAGAGGCTCCCTAGGAGCCCCCAAGAGACCCCGAAGAGGCCCCAAGAGGCAAGCAAGAGGACCAAAAGAGGCCCCAAGAGGCCCCCCGGAGCTCCCTAACAGGTTCCCAAGACGCTCCCAAGAGGCCCCCAGACTATCCCCATCGGCGTTGTGACCGTCGTCGACGTCGCCGTCGTCCTCATCGTTGGCGTCGTCGTCGTCGTAGTCGTCGTCGTCGTCGTTGTCGTCGTCGACGACGTCGTCTTCGTCGTCGTCGTCGTCGCTGTCGCCGTCGTCGTCGTGGTCGTCGTCTTCAGTGTCGGCGGCACTGGCCGCAAGGCCTTCACAAAACAGAACTACATGAATGATTGGACAGGAAGATCGACGAGCTCAGCACCGTGCGCCAGGACATCAGCAGCGCCAGGGACGACCACGATATCTACGCAGAAGCTGCTGACGACGAAGCTGAAAAGTCACAAAGGGACCTACCACAAAGAAGGACCCCCACCCTGGCCGAAAGGAGACAAACAGGGGCGGAGGAAACCGCAGAAGAACACGACGTCGGCAACCGACTCAGGACCCTGAAGGAGGACAACCATCGCATGGCTCTCGACATCAAGAATAACAGGAACGACGCCGACAAAGAAATCCAGGACCTTATGACACGTCTCCAAGAAGCCGAAGAAGCCGCGCAGAAAAGCGACAACAATCGCCACGTGGAAACAACTAGGGCCCAGAACTACTACAACGAGCTCATGAACGAGATTCGCAGCGCCAAGCAGACAATTGAGAAAATGGCAGCGCACCACGAGTTCCCACAGACAAGGAGTGCAGAGGCCCTTGACAAGACAGAGGAGGAGTTGGAGGCCGCACTAAAAAGCCACTGGGGACACACGAGCCCACCAAAACACAGCATCGGCCGACCAGTTGTAGCAAGGGCTCAAATACACACAGAAGCTCATTGACAGCAGCAAGGACCTCGCCAACATGGATCATCGGCTACGCGAAGCAGTAAGGACTGCAGGTGAAAGACAACAGTACTACAACATGCCAATGGAGGCCGAGCAGCCTATCGCCAAAATTGAAGCACAAGCAGCCGAAGCGCGCATCAAGGAACACAATGACCACATCATCTTGTACTGAAAGTTGGGCGACGCACAGGACAGGAATCTACAAGCCCACGAGAAGACTGCACGAGCAGGAGATGCACATAGAGGCCACCATCCATCAGGCCTACAAAATGCACCAGCAACGAGTCACTGGCGTCGAACGACTGGTCAGGACAAGGGACGCTGAGCATGCGCAGCAACGCTAAGTCTACTTACGTAGTGTACTCACCGACATGAACGCGCACGAGCCGCAGGCGCACTACAATGCATTACATGCGGAGAGACAATAACAGCTTATGATACAAAAGCCTGACATTGGCACAGCAAAGCAACGCGCTACCTTCCAGCACGACATACATACATGCACAAGGTGCTTATCGGTGGTGAAGCGCGGAACGCCAGGAAAAAGGCACAGACCGAGAGCAACGAACGACGATCTAATCATTCTCCAGGCCAGGCTCATCAAGCCTCCGATTCACAAGAGGATTGCACAACATGCGTTCTGAGCAAGCTGTCGGTGCCGGCACCGACAATCTGCCGCGTGCAGTACAGGGCGGGAGGACGGGGGGCTAAGAGCGATTACGGAGATGCCCAAAGGTACCCCTCGGACGTTTGATATGAGACCACCTCGCCGCCACTAAACAAAGCATTCAAAAACAAGTATGTTCAGGGTGTTTATCGGCGGTGAAGCGCGGGGCGCCAGGAAAAAAAACACAAACCGAGAGCAGCGACCGACGATGTCAATCATTTTCCAGGCCGGGCTCATCTGGCCTCCGATTCACAAGATGATTGCACAACATGCGTTCTGAGCAAGCTGTCGGTGCCGGCACCGACAGTCTGCCGCGTGCAGTACACGGCGGGAGGGCGGGTGGGCCAAGAGCGATTACAGAGATGCCCAAAGGTACCCCTCGGATGTTTGGTATGCGACCACCTCGCCGCCACTAAACAAAGCATTCAAACAATAAATATGTTCAGGGTGTTTATCGGCGGTGAAGCGCGGGGCGCCAGTTTGTCAAGGCCTGTTTGGGCTTTCTTGGGGCCTCCTTGGGGGCCTCTTGGAGCCTCTTGGGGGGCTCTTGTGGGCCTCTTAGGGCCTCCTGGGCGCCTCGTGGGGCGTAGGAGGAACTGGATGATAGGGGAGGGCCACGAGGACGAGGAACAGCAGGGAGGGAGGGAGGGAAAAAGAGACGGGGAGGAAGCGGAGGACGTGCAGGGGACTGATGATGATGGTGATGCTGATGAGGAAGAGGAGTGGGGGAGAAGGAGCAGAGGGAGAAGAAGGATGACGAGAACGAGGAGGAAGGGGAGCAAGAGGGTGAGGCCAATGAGCAGCGGGAATGGAGCATCAAGCAGAGCCGGGATTGACATCTCAAAGGCGTCGAGGATCCTGACGGAGATACACATGATGATGAGGAGAACGCGGTGAGGCTAGCAACACGCGTCACGACGACGTTCCAGAGAGTGAGTGTGACTAAATCGGCTTCTACCCCCGCGAGGGGGCGTCACAAGGTAGTAGTAGTAGTAGTAGTAGTAGTAGTAGTAGTAGTAGTAGTAGTAGTAGTAGTAGTAGTAGTAGTAGTAGTAGTAGTAGTAGTAGTAGTAGTAGTAGTAGTAGTAGTAGTAGTAGTAGTAGTAGTAGTAGTAGTAGTAGTAGTAGTAGTAGTAGTAGTAGTAGTAGTAGTAGTAGTAGTAGTAGTAGTAGTAGTAGTAGTAGTAGTAGTAG